GAGGCATTGGCGTACGCGAAACGACGAAACGGTGAAGGGAGGTGAACGAGTTGCAGCGGCCAGAGGAGTCGGAGGGCCGAGAGGCGGTAGGACACAGGGACGCAGCGACGCAGGGGCGATGGGGTGTAGGAGCGCGGCGGCGGGGGACGGCACGACGGAAGGACGGAGGATAGACGGGACGTTGTGTGTAGCGGGTATTGTGGGTGGCGGCGGGCGGCGGGCGAGTGCTTCTCCTCCCGGTTGGAAGGGGACGCGAGCAGGCCGGAGGGGAAGGGGGAAGGGGCAAAGTTACTTTCCCAGAGAAATAAAAGTTAATGGAGTTCCCTGCCTCCTCGCCTCTCATACTTCCATCGTCTTTTTCTTCTCTCCATCTCTTCGGCGTCGCGCAACTTTCACGAAAGTTATTATATCTTAATTTACTATTGAGCATTATCTGAAATTTCTCCTACGTTTCCGTTTCGACGCGGCATTATACGTTGCCGGGCGACGACGATGATGGTGCTCGTTGTGTTCGGGACGTATCGCGTTTACGTTTTCTCGAATTATAACTGTGAAGCTGGATCATGGAAATTTTGGGTTCCGTTGGTCGCGCCGATGGGAACGCAGGTAAAAGACCTTGCGCAACGGATCAACCTTGTCTAACGCTGGGAACGCGTAGCCTCGATATCTCGCGCACGCGGTAGAAACGATAAGACCTACTTTACTCGGTTATATACTTTTAGCCTCGTCTCTTCGCGTTGCACGTACGCGCCTGTTTTCGTGTGGATACGCAACCGTGGGACACGTACACGTAGACGGATCGCTGTCTACTCTGTTCCAACTCTGTTCCACTCTGTTCTACTCTGGTTTACTCTGTTCCACCGTGTCCCTATCTGTCGTGTTCTTCACCCTTCCTCCACTCTACTCTCGTCTATCCGGTCCATTCCATTCCATTCTACTGCACTCCACTCGACTCGACGCCACTCTCCCTCATTTTCTTCGGCCGTTTCCCACCTCCTCTTTTTTTCATTCCCGTTCCCATTTCATATTCCCGCTTCCGTCCTCCTTCCCGAACCACCGTTCCGTCTCCCGAGTCGCCCCTTCCAGCGCTTTGATTTACAGCCATAAGTTGTAATATTTGCGCCACTATTGTATGGTAATACGCATAGCAAAAAATATGTTAATGGCCGCCATAAAGAAGATATACAACATACATATGTATTCTATTTCGCGGTATATACTTCGCGGAACATGGACGACCTGTACAAGACTCTGCCTTTCTCCTTCTTCATTTTCTTCTCGGCCAACTTTTTCATTCGTCGACTCTCTTCCTTCCCGTTCCCTCCTCCCTCCACATTCCTCCCCCCAACCGTCGTCCTCCCTATATTTCTCCTTCGTTCCTCGTCCTCTCGTTCCCCTTTCATTCTCGTTTCCCATTTCTCACCGTCCAATTTTTTTCTCGCAAAGGTATCCTCTCAAAATCAAGCGATACACGGTCGTCGTTATAATCGTTCGAGGACCATGAGAAAGACAATCTCCATCGGTAACCTTTCCTCGATCGCGAGGACGCTAGACGAACGGACAGTCCGGGAGACGTCGAGATCGACGCGGGAAAAACGGCGGTCAATCTCCTCGTAGATCAAATCCAATTTTCTCGGATATTGACTGCGCGTTATATCGCGGCCCCTTTCTTCCCTCCTCGCCGGCGCTGGTTCGCTATCGCGCCGCTGATAGCAATACCCAGCCATCGATGGAAATTCCGGTATTCGAACATCGCGACCGTATCGTTCGCAAAGGCATCGGAACCTCGTCTTCCCTTCTATATCATGCTTCCTCTCGGGCCGTTCTTCTATTCTCCCTTCCGTTCGCCCTCCCCACTCTCTCGCTCGACTCGTTCCTCGCGTGTGTCTCTCTCTTTCTTCTTCTTCTTCTTCTTCTTCGTTTCACGTAAGTCCAACGATTTCCGTAGCCCTTAACACTTAACACGTTGAATGCACGATTTTACGCAGCAACGTGCGCGAAGCAGGGAAACGTATAATGTACTTGATTGAATTGCATCATTGTTGCACGGTTGTTTTGCTGAACGTCCGCCTTGGGTTCCATTGTTTCTAATGTGGAACTGTTTTTAAACCTGTGCGGTCTAAAGTGCTGTTGGTTTCTTACTTTGAGGTTCACGTTATTTCATTCGATTACAGCTTAATATTACGCTCTATTTATTTATTCGAGAATATTTGGGAGTCATTGAAATATTACTTTTAACACTTTGCCACGTCATACGAATTCGGCTGACATATGTTACAGAAACGTAGACATTAATTTCTTATGACGCATCGAACGAACCGAATTTTGTTGGATATACGAGATATAAGATAGTGGAGCAGTTATTAAGAAGAACCTTGATTTCTTAGTTTCTGATTAATGAAGAAAACTGTTTCGAGTATATGGCAGTTTTGATGAATGTTTACGTGGCTGTCAAAGTGTTAAGTGGTACAATTGTGATACTACGAATAAATATAGAAAAATTGTTGAAACAGGTAGAGGTTGCAACAAAATAGAATGTCGAGTCTAAGGGTTAAATAATCGTCGTTTGACACTTCGACTGCCACGTCAGTAATAAGGTGACGCCATTTTTAACGTAATCTTGGAGATGAGTCTTTTTGGTGACGCATCGAAGGAAATAAGTTTTATTGGATACGAGATATGAGGAAGGTAGAGTGATCGTTACGAAGAATCTTGACTCTAATTTCTGGTTTATTAAGGAAACTGTTTCGATTGCAAGTTTTCATGTTCACTTGGCAGTCGAAGTGTTCATTCAGTGAATTATAGTAATTCGATTTGGTTGGGTCACCGGTGACCCCACGTCGTTCAACATGTTAATGGACGGGATACGTAGATTGACGTATTTTCATGGTAATTTAATGATTTCTAAAATACTGTACTAGTGACAGGTACTAGAAACGAAAACGAGTGATTTCTCAAATTGTATTAATAATGATACTGATTTAATAAATCAGCAATAAAGACACGATTTCAGGTTCATATCATTTCTTCAAGAATTCCTGGGACTAGAGGAAAGTAGACAAAAAAGCCTTAATGATTGCTTAAAGCAGTATATGTACCTTTGCAATAATTCTAGAGAAATAAATCAGAAATTGATAATTTTGACCCACCTGATAGTTCTAGTAAAAACATCTTACAGAAATTGGTGTGCCATGTATGGTACACGTGGCACTGAGTTAACGCTAGAACTACCATTTGATACGATTGATACGCAATCTCCATAAAGATTATAACAATAGATTACTTCCGGATTACTTCCGGAAATAAAATAGCTCTGTTACCTAATTTATGTAAGGTATTTCTTTATGTTAGTTGTAAAACATATCATTGATATTCCATCAGAGAATAATGAATATTTCTTGAGAAAAATATTCTCGAGTGCAAAGGGTTAACAGTATAAATGGTGTCATGGAGCTTACCGAGTGCAAAGGGTTAACACTAGGTTTACGGGCATTTATTGTCTTCATTCTATTATTCCTAAAAGAATTGATGCTCGTTTATTTAGATTGCGGAAACTGGAGATTCGATAGTAGATAAATGGAGTACACGTCAGTGTGATCGCATCAACGAAAATCGACGTGAACATTTACAAAATATTTCTAAAATCCAATAAGCGTCAAATTCACGCGTTCCGTAAATCTAGTGTTAAACATCGAATTCTACAGTTTCGCTGTACGAAATCGGTGAGCGAGAGCCATCCCTCTCGCAGAGGGTTAATTTATTTGCGAAATCCTTCGGAACACTCGAAGGTATCGATAACCGCGAAACAGGAGAACCGAGAACCGTTAGAACCGTTAACACATTGCGTACCGGTAACGAGAAATCTCGTTTTTATACAAAGACACTTAGCTATGCGACTTCGCTAATTACCACAGCATTGAAAAAAATATAAAATTTCATTCGAATCGATTATCTATTTAAAATATATTACACAACAATATGATATATGTTTTTCTATGTATAGTGATATAAGTTGACCTCAGTGAAAATTGCCATCACAATTCAGTTTTCTGGAAATTAGCCGGTACGCAATGTGTTAACGCTAGGTTCACGGAACGCGTCAATTTTGACGCACATTGAATTTCACAAACATTATTTAGTAAACTGTCGATTTTCATTGGCCTATGATTTCTTTCTCAACTCTGATCAATATGGCTACTTTGTGATTAATAATTTATTGGAAAAAGAGAAAAATTCTAAGCATACGTTACACCTATATATCCTTTTAAGCATAATAGTCGATTACAGAGGAATAATATTCACTTTGAATTCGAATGAACCGAGTAATATACATATTTGTTGAATCATGTTGAAAATCTTCACGAGTCTCACTCGTTGTAGGGCAGTTAAACGACCAACTTCCAAAATCTAAATGAACGACCATAGAATTCGTTAAGACAAACGGAATAAACTGAACAATAAACATCCGTAAACTTAGAGTTAATTCATCGACAACTGGCAGCGAACTCGTCTTCCTTGCAGATACGGACGGGGCGCAACTATGCGAATCGATTCAGCGGAAGAGTGACAACCGAACGAACGAACGAACGGGAACGAAGAAGAGAATAAACACGGCGTACGTGGCGTACAGGAAATATGAGTGGATAAACGGATGGATAGACGAGAGAAAAACCGAGGGGGTCGGCGCGGGAGGGGTCGATGGTGGGGATCGACGGGTAGGCCAAGAAGAAACGTAGTTGGTCGAAGGTGGAGATTGCTCGGAGGGAAGGAGTTTGGAGGGTAGATTCCACGCAGAGATGCGACTGGAGGAGAGCCGAGGGAGGATGCACGGAGAATACGGGAGAGAATACGGGGGGTAGGAGTCGGTGTGCCGAGGTAAGTTAAATAAACTTGTTTAGTTTCGCGGAAACTTCTGCCCGGCCATTGTATTCGACTGCCTCGCCGTAGAGTTCGCACCAAAACTTTCGAATACGAACGAACTCGGTTCTCCGTTACGCTTTATTCGCTTGTTTTGCCAAGTCGCTACCTACAGGTACCAACCCTCCTCTCTATCCACCATGTTCCTCGATTCTCTTCCCTCAACCGTCTCTTATCAATTCTCTTTTCCGTTTCTTTCCTCCGATCTTTACTTCCTCGACACCAAGGATAGATCCGATCGAAATCTGTTCAACGTTATCGCTGGCAGGGGTGAATTTCATTCAGAGCCCCGAATCGGGGTACAAATATAAATACAAATAGAAACTCGAATGGGAGCGCGATCGGCAAGAAAATCGAACAAAGTGCCTCCGCCGCTAGTGTGGCAGCAAACCGAATGGCTTATTGATTTAACGAGAGAGGGGGAAGGCAAGGGCGAGGGAGAAAGAGAGAAAAGGGGGGAAAGAGAGAG